AAATTGCAAGACCCAAATAATAGGCAGAATATAATTTGCAATAAACCATTGAATTCCCTTTGTCGTGTTGACTTCATTGATATGTTTCAAACGAATAGGGCACTAGCAAAGTATATCTTGCCATTGGATTACCACAATGATATTGTTTTCTGATGGTTTCTGTAGTAGTTATCATTTAAGTGCTTGCTTGCAGTTCCAGTTAAAAAAGTTACTGGGTTTTGATTGTGTAGGGCATTATGATCTTGTTTTCACAAATAATTTGCTAGTACCAACAGGCCACATTTCTCTTCTGTTAGGGTCAACAAAAATAAACTGTCATTGCCTTAAAAATGTACATGCTCCTTTCAAAGATGTAATAATATCTTTGCAATTCCTACAAAACTGATGCTACACTGATCTCCTGGAATTTAATGGTACTGTTAAATTCTGAGAAGGATTTTCGTATCTTCCTGTTTTGAAGTACAATTAAAATTTACTCTGAGCATTTTTCCTATTACAAATAGCTTATGCTATTCTTATGTTTACTGTTGTTCGAGTCCAGGCAGCCGAGAAGGAGAGGCAAAGTAAGCAAGAGAGAAATGAAGGTAAAAACAGTGAGCTAAATGCCTAGAGAATTTTGATATGTTTAATCATAGAAGTTGAATATGTGTCAATCCGTGGACCTAATAGATATTTTCCCCCATTTCTTGCATAGTCCAGTTGTATAAGTCTTGATATGCATAATTAGCATTCTCATGTCTATTTCAGACTCGTTTTTTCTTCGTGGATTAAAGTAAGCTTCTCTGGTTGTTTACTGGACAAAAGTTTTTAATTTTTTTCCTTATTTTCACTGTTGTTATTTATATTCCCTTGCGTCAGATTTAGCATGTTGCTTCTATGGGTTAAATTACCTTCTATACTTAAGTAGCTTTTCCAAAGCAGTTTGAAAAGCCTTTCCCTTTTTAAGCCTTCTGGAGGTAGTGTAATAGCACTCGACAATACATGTTGCTAATTTGGCTTATTATGAATTGACTATTATTTTTGGTTACATCAATTCTGATGAGCAAAGTGTGGTGTTACTAATACTCCCTTCATCAGGGTTTCTTGCTCCTCCTCCGATGCCCTAGTGAAATTCCTTTGGGACGGGAGAATTGATATATTGTTATCACCTCTATGAATATCTACTTACAACAGTGGCTAATTGGGGCGAATCTAAACTATAGAAATTGCTAATGCACAGTTACCTAAGGATTTCACTGACATAAACATGCATGCACCCCCGCATAATATTCTCCTTCTTTTAAACAGTGTTTCCTGTTTTCCTCTATCTGTCATCCACTCAAAAGAGTTCTGAGTTATTTGTCACTTGCAAAGACATCTTTCGTCAATTCAAGATTGTGTCTGATTATCTCTCTGTAAATGTAAATCCGACATTTGGTTGGCTAACTCTGATTAATACATACTTCTTTTAACTTTTCTATATCTTGTCAATTTTTATTAATTAACAAAAGGAGGGAGGGATGTTAGATGTATATGAGCGCACCGGCACTAAATACATAGCAAAGACATAACATGGATTGATTGAATCATGAAGATTATAAGCAATTATTGGGTTGATGCTTGTTCTGTATTCTGATAACATATAATACCGACAAACGGAAACAATTGTAGGGAAACTTCAAGTTGTTTCATTCAAATTTTTATGCTGTACAAACACACAAACTTGATTTTCTGGATTTGGCTCTGTGAATCTGTAGCTGAACAGTTCTATTTGCTTATTGATGAGATGCTAAACCAACTGTTTGATGTTGACTCTTTTTGATGGCTTCACTGTTTCCAAGCTCGTGAAGACCTAGCAGTGCCTGCCCTTAAACCCTCAGAGAGAGAAATGGAAGGTTCTGTTACCAAGTCTCTAACATCTGTTGCTTATGTTAACTTTGTTTTGGTCCATTACGATAAAATCTCAATTGTGAATTTATTAAATTAATTGAAGGAATCATACTTGACAACTTGGTCATTTGCATGGTTCTAATTGCTAAATTTTTTAATCTTTTATATACTAATTTAATAGTTTTATATAATAATCAGAAACATTGCGTAGTTGTTTGGTTATCAAACTATACTATTTCAAGTGATTATTACATCAATCTTATCAAATTATCATTAAATAGTAGAGAATTTTGGGAGTTCTGATGCTTCTGATATCCAGTCAAAAACCCCTTTTGTTTTATAAATGGGGAATTTAAGTTTCAAGTCATTTCAGCATTGTTTTGCTTGCAAGTTGTGAGTATCTCTAGTTCTCAATATTATTCCCCATCTGCACTTTTCCACTTGAATTTCATGGAAGGGAACGGCGTCGGTAAGAATGAGTCAAAATGTAGGTTAAAGGCATCATTTCTCACATCACTGGTAAATTTTGAGGACAACGACAATGCCGCAAAAGTCGATATCTTGCACTATTTTGATAGTTTATGGAAGCAGGTATCACTTTTGACAGAAATAAAGTGCTAAAAGTAATGTTTTTCATGGAAGAAGAAAATGTTGATGGTATATAATCTTGGATTTAATATCTTGTAAGTTTACATATTTGAAATTTAATTTTTAGGTTAATTCATGATATTGTTGGTTTACACTGGTTAAAGAACGAAATGTTCTTTTTCAAGGCCTCAAAAGCATAAAAAAAAAATTGAAAGATACTAAAAAGCTTCCGTTGCCGGGAATCGAACCCGGGTCTCCTGGGTGAAAGCCAGATATCCTAACCGCTGGACGACAACGGAATTGATGTTAGCTTGAGTCGAATCAACTTATTATTAATTATGTTGAGTACTTTGAAATAAGAAAATAATCCCACATAAGAAAATAAATTTTATATTATTGTGTTAGAGTGTATACAAAGAAAATAAATTTCAAAAATGAGTTTTTTTTTTTTTAAAAAAAAACAAAAAACAAAAAGGGTATGTGTGTATATATATATATGTATGTTAATTGATAAATATAGTAAGGCACATTTATGATTTAGAGCCATGGGTTCGTATCCACAAGCAAAGGACAACCAATAAATAAAGAATTATAATTTGAGACCGCACACAAAGTCTCGTCTTGCCCTCTCAATTTTTCTTTTTCATACTTCTCCATTATTTTTTTCAATTAGTTATTTTAAAGAAAACAAAAGAGACAGAGTTGACGGTTGTCATTATGCATGTAAGAGCATCTTCTTGTTCATTTTCATCTATAAAACCCGAGAATCCTTATCCAACATTTTAATAACACACAAAATAAAATTTAAATCCCACGTGGGGAAATTTCTCGACACGTGTCAGCTACCCACAGGAGAGTACAAAACAAAAATATAGCAATCCAAAAAAGTAAAAATCGAGCGGTTCTGGAACAAACGATTTTGGTGTACCCGGCTCGAAGAATCTCACCCATGTGAAGATATTTTCGTGCCACGTGTTGGCATCCGGTTGGTGGTGACAGCTGGTCTGTTGTTTCTGCGGGTAGATCCTTTATTTTAACACCGCACAACACACAATCATCCATCGGAACAAGCAATCTGATTCTGTGGTAAGGAGTTAAAAAAAAATTAAATTAATAATAATAATAATAAAGTTGCTTTTTCTCGTCATCAGGAATCTTTCACATGCCAATACATTAACGCATTCTTCCTTAAATATATAAATTATTATTTATTTCCTATTTATATATTAAATAATTTGTAAATAGTTATATATATTTTTTATATACATATTATGGTTGCAAAAGAAAGATTTATATCGTAAATATCTTTAAAAGTGATCGGAGAAATACACGTCATCAAAATAAGTTTTGTTCTAATAGTGCATAATAAAATAATTTTAATTAATTATTTATTTTACTCTAATTCTCTAGTAATTAATTGTGTGTGTGTGTGTGTGTGTATATATATATATACGCTGTATATAGATACTTAATATCTTTCACTTGATTTAGTACTGATAAATGAATAATTAGTTATTAATTAAATTTTAATAGATTCATCGTATTACGGTATAAAGTTAAAAATATTAATTATAAATATATTTTAAAGTCATATGATTAGTTATGATCTTTTAAATTATATAAAATTTTACTTAAACAATTATTTTTGTTATCTTTAATAAATATCTATATATTTATTATATATACTATTAGTTTTTTTAAAATTAATAATATTCATTTTTAATGTTTTTAAAATATTTAAAAAAAAAAAATCACCAAGCAATGTACCTTTTATATTCACAAAAAAGTATTATACTTTTGTTAATTAAAAAATAAGTAATCAAAACCTTTATATAAAAAGTATATACATTTTTTATTATTATATTCCACTATTTAGTTATATGATTTATTATTTTTATAATTTAAAAATATATTCTTGATAAAATAGGAAATTTTATTTATTTATTTTGCTTTAGGATTTAAGAGGATTTTAAATAATTCGATGTCAATTTAAAGAGAATTTTTTTGAAAAAATTTAATTTAATTTTTTAAAAAAATTGAATAAAGTTGAAAATTAATAAAAAAAATAGTTTAAAATTTTAAATAAACTTTATAAAAAATAATTTATTTATTCTACAGGTAGTGTAGATATAATTTCTTTTTAAAACTGATTTTACCCAAATAAACCGTTTATTTACTTTCTAAATAAACGAAAAAAAAATTATTTAATTAAATTCCAAAAATAAAATTTTGGTAATTACAATTCGCCGCGTGATGTACGGAATCCAAAGATTCCAATACGTTTAATACGGACAACTCACCGAGTTTCCGCATAGAAAATGACTGAGTTAGCCTCGCGAGCCACCGAGTTAGCCCGGTTCTCATATATATCGTCTTGTTTGTTATGCGACGACCCGAATGCAAAGCACCGAATCTCCGCGTCCGTGAATCTCCCAATGTGTCCCCTCCTCTATAAATATACAACGCCTTCTTTTCTTATCGTTCTTATCTGGGCAATGTCACGGACAAAGAAGATAGGTAGATAGACGTCGATAGATATATATAGATTACAGACACATATATACACACACAGAGAGAGACAGAGACAGAGAGAGAGAGAGAGAAAGGGATAATCTTTTCGAGAGAGAGTGAAGGACCAAAATATGGACCTGAGCTTGGATTTGAGTTTGGTTTATGTCCCTAAAACCATGTCTGAATTTATGAGAGACATATCGAAGACGAAGAATATTTCTGCTAAAGTCTCAAAAATCGATGATTTCGTTAAGAGATTGGAGGATGAGAGAAGAAAAATCGATGCTTTTAGGCGCGAACTCCCTCTATGCATGCTCCTTTTAACCGATGGTATTTTCCGGCTTCTTTTCTTTTTTTTTTTTTCTTTTCTTTTCCATTTACTTTTATGATTTTGGAGGTGGGTTTTTATTCTTTTATTTGCTTTTTTACTTTTTTTGTTTCTGGGTTTAATTTTTATGGGTTTGTTGCAGTGATTGCGAGGTTAGAAGAGGAGAAAGTGCAGTATGCGGAGTTAAATGATCGATCTGCGGTTGAAGAAATCCTGCCATTGAAGAGAATTTCGGAAGAAGATGGAGCGGCAAATAGAGAAAGAGATGGGTGCGATAAGAAGAACTGGATGAGCTCTGTTCAGCTCTGGAGCAACAATGTCAACCCGGATCCGGAGCAACACTCAATCTCACGACTGAAATCGGTACTCCTGAAACTAGCTTCAACTCTTTTTTTTCCAAGTCAAGAGTGAAAATTTTTGCGGAATAGAAATTCTGATTCTTTTTTTTTTTTTCTTCATAACAGACAAGTGAAGACGATGGGTCCTTTGCGGAGGAGCACCCAGTTCAACCCAGCAACCACAGTAGCAGAGGAGGCGCAATTGGGCCATTTAAGGGAAAATCTGGATTTCAAGAGAAAGGGGTTCCTTCTCTTTCTCTCATGACTCCTATCTCTGAATTGAGTTCTTGCACTACAGTTTCTGCGAGTATTATGAGTTGCAGAGTTGGTTTTGGTTCATCTTTGTGCGCCGACCAAAATCCAGTTGAGTTGCAAAGCAAACCGCAACACCAACAACAACAAAATTCCAGGAAGCAGAGGCGGTGCTGGTCACCGGAGCTTCATCGGCGGTTTGTGGAGGCGCTTCAAAAGCTGGGAGGATCAAAAGGTTAGTCCTATCTCCTCTGAGCAAATTACTTCGGGACCAGTTAATATTGTTTTCCTAGGATGATTCCAAGGGTTTTGGTTTGTTCTTGTGAGGCTTTTACTGTGATAATTTGCTAAGAGAATATAGTGTTTGTAGAGTTTTTAGCTTTTACCATGTGTCTTTATTCCAAAGTGTCAAGGAATTTTAATTTATAGACTTGTGATGTGTGCTATTTTTCTAAAATTGAATACTATATTTGTCTTTTGGTGATGAAAATTTGATGGGTTTGATTATTTATTCTTCTAGTGGCCACTCCTAAGCAAATTAGAGAACTGATGCAAGTAGATGGGCTCACCAATGATGAAGTGAAGAGCCATTTGCAGGTAAAGTTCCTGTTACACAACTTATTCTTCTTTCATTTGCTTTATTTAGGCTTCTGCTTTTTGATTTACTTGAATTCTTTGCTTTTACGCAGAAATACAGGCTTCATATCCGAAAAGTTCCAGCTTCTTCGTCTGCTGCAGCGACCAGCCATTGGTCAGCCGGAAACCATTCTGGAGACAGCTCAAAACCAAGCATTTCACCATCTGGTTCTCCACAAGGTCCTCTCCTTTCACATGGAGCTGATAGTAATGGAGCTGATAGTATGGAGACCGAAGAGGATGAGAAATCAGATGGCCGTAGTTGGAGAGGGAGGATTCACAGGCCAGAAGAGATCCATGTATATAACTGATCTCCATGATTTTTTCTGATACAAACATAGTCATGGGGGATTCCAATTGTAGGCATACAAACACAAATACTTGATAAAAAAGAGGGATTTTATATCAGGAGATTCGTATCAAGGCCAGTACTTAGAGATTATGAGATTTTGCAGGTGTCATGGACAAATAGTTCTCTGTTAGTGACTTGAGTTTCTTTGCTATGGTTAGATAGTTGATTTTGTGACAAAGTAGGAGGTTGTCCTAAAATTGTTTTGTTCTAACACCTGAATATAAGGTTTCATTTTTTTGGTTTTTGTTTGTGAAACAAAACTGCGGATTACACCAGATTCATATGTTGTCTGCGTCTGTAATTCGATTGAGGTTTTTGGCTTTTCAGCATCAATGAATGATAGATATTTACAGCTTCAAACGATTGCTCGCTCGATCATGATCAACCTTTTCTTTCCTGAACTTGATAGTTTGTATTGGCTATATTGTCGAATTCCTCGCTGCTCCAGGTAAATATCTTCATGTTATGCATTCTCTGCTGACTGGTGATGGGTAAAACCTGAATTGCAAAATTTCTATTATCTTTGATTTACCATTCCTTAGGAGGAGATATGTATATATATAGTACCATGTCTTGGGGATATTAGGATGCATTTTCCTGTTGGTGCAGTGGACTGAACCAATTCTTTCTGGTTTTCTCGAGAAGAGGACTGAACCAATTCTTTCTGGGTTTCATGGAATTTCCCTCCTACATGATTTGATGTAGGACCAACTACTCTTAGATTTTTATTCTGGTGTATTTTCCTGCTATTCATTAATATTCAAACCGATATATTTCTAAACACTGTCATGTATGGGCATTTGGCCACACATTAAAACTGGCCATATCCCTTCACTTGCATTCCAGCTCCAAACTTAAGCAACCATTGACCTTGCTTTCTGCAACACAAAAAAAAAGCAGCTTTTATCTTCCCTCCCGCAACCTCGTTGGTTTATAATCACGATCCCTTGAATAGATCATGAGCTTTGCATCAAGCATAGTATCTGTAGTAGTACTTTTGGCAAATATTTTCCAAGTTTTTGCAGGACTAGTAAGTTTCAGTATTTTCCTCAAAGATACATGAAATGATTGATTTGAGAACTGTAACCCAGGAGACCACTTTCACAGATTCTCCCAAGTTCAATTATTTATTAAGCTTATATTTTAATCAAAAAAAAAAACAACAAAAAGTTATAGTGATCGGTGAATTAATTAATAAATTAATCAAAAGATCTAATAATGCAGATGGATTGTATTGTTTAGATTATCCGGTTGACAGATCAATCAGGTGGGTGGTGTTTAATACTCAATTAAGCAAACCAGAAATGGAGGACAAAAGAATCGCTTTCTCATACAATAAAACAACAAAGTTATGAGAAGATACGGTGAGCCCACGTTCAGATTTTTTGGCTTCTGAGCCATTGAATGTTTCAAAATTATGCCCACTTCATTCCAATCTCTTTTTCTTTCTTTCTTTTTTCACAGAAACTGAGTTTGTCAATCACTTCATGTTCCTGTTTCATCCATGTTCAGTATCTTGAGTTTTACCATATTAAATATATCTTGTATACTTTGAATATGTGTATTAAAAATGTCAAATGCGGAAGCGTAATAAAAATTTTGATTAACATCCCTTACACTAAAACCAAAAACGTGCTCAAAGTATAAAAGAACAAACTAACTAAAAGAGAAACTCGAAAATAAAAACTATAAATATAACTACGGAGTTTTCAGACGTCCCCTTCGCCGTCTTCCTGCGGAACGGGCTCGGGAACAATGTCTTTCTGATCTGAAATGATTAAATAAGGAATAAGTTACACCAGCCCAGTAAAGACATCACACTATCTCACCGTCACGGAGGTAAAGGTGGGTAGAAAACACAAAAAGACCAATGGAGCATAATTTACAACAAATTCTTTTATCAATAATAAAATCCTTTACTATCCACTTACCTCGGCGAAATTTATAAAACAATATACGAAAGCAATAACATTATCATCATCATGAAATCATATGAGCTGTATAACATAATACTTATCACGCCTTTTGCAATTCAATCATTACACAACATATTTTTCCTCATTTACCAGCCTACTAGTATCCATGGGGATCCATAAGGATCCCGCTACCCGTGAACCCTTAACACTTGTAATCAGATTCTAGGGTCGTCCCCATACCCCGTCCGGTATGGGCGCCAAAACTATAAACCTCAATACCCCGTCCGGTATGAGGGTGAAACGAGCCGTCCCCATACCCCGTCCGGTATGAGAGACCACAATCTCGATAGGGTTCCCTACGGACCCGGTCCGTTCACCATCTCCCAGAATATCTAGTCAGGTTGACCACATTATATAATTAGCAATTTACATAACCTTTCATTCCCCTTTTCCTCAGTCAGCATCATCAATTCACACACAAACAAGCAAACTAATAATTTATGCCAAACAAGACAACATACAACATCGGGTTCTCAGTCATTCAACCCATAATCAATAAAACAGTAATATATGCACACGAAACTATGAAATGAAAACATCAGACCTTATATTGCACTTAAAACTGTAAAATAGGTCAAACAACAGCTAACCGACAAACACACCAGACTCGGACTCCATTAGCGACCTTAAATAATTTCACACATCTATTAATTCATGAAATACCGTTTTATTATTTATTGAACTTTAATACCGTGATAGGAAATAGGGTGAGGGGTCCTTACTTGTTTCGGGGTCCGAATACGGCTCTACAGTGCGCCTATAGGCTGTCCCTAATTTTTCCTAAATTTTTTTCCGGGGAACTGAAACGCACTACTGGTATCTGCACGTGTCCCAAAAAATCCCAAATTAGACCCAGGGCCCCTTTCAGCCAATATCGCAATTTCGGCACAGCGGCTCCGCTGTGCTCCGGCGACGGCGGCTCCGCCGTACTCCGGCGACGGCGGCTCCGCCGTGCTCCGGCGACGGCGGCTCCGCAAGCGGCGGCGATTCGCCTCGGGTTGACCGTTTTCGGCCGAATTCGACCACATTTGCATCGGTCCTTGCGATAAAACAACCCTAGGGCCCTCGAGGGGCAAAAAAAATACGAAAAACTGAAGTTTACCGGCGGCGGTACTCTCGGGTGCGGCGGCTCTTCGGCGAGATTCGTGTTTTGGTGATTTGGCTTCGATCAACCTGTAGAGAAAATAATGGTGATCACGGTGATATAAAAATTGTATCAAACGGAGGCCGGAAAGGGCCTCATCGGAGGCAAAAATCGAGGAGGGGCGCGGCGGCGCCGCTGGGTTTCGGCCGTGTTTTCCGGCCGTTTGGCCGGAATTTTGGCTCCGATTTGGCCACAGGGGAACTCAGCATTGAAAAACGAGCCGGGGGTATGAAATTTGCCTCGATCGGCGGTCAGAAAACTCTCCGGTGCGACGGCAGGTGGCGGCGGCCGGCTCCTCCGGCGTCTGGTTCATCTTCTCCGGCAAGGGCAGGCGGCTAGGGTTTTTGTGGTCAGGTGTGGGGGTTTTATTTATACCCTTTTGCCTTCTAATCACAGCCGTCCATCTTGATTAAATCTGAGCCGTCCGTGCGCTGACGGAGCACAATTTTTCTAAATTGCGTTTTGACCACCGGTTTCCGATTTTCTTTTCAAAAATACCCCCAGAATCCTAATTTTCACTCATTTTTTCTAAAATCAATTTCAATTAAATCCAAATAATATTTTTACCCAATTTTATCATTATTATTATTATTATTAAAAATTAAATTAAATAAATCAATTAAAATAATAAAATTATAAAATAAACTAAATAAAATTAATAATAATAAAAATTATAAAAATTAGTGAGCGTTACAATCATTTTAATTTCACAAAGATAACGCAGCAAATTCAAATAAGAATTATTGTCCGTCATAAATTTTCTTGATTTTATTTTCTTATCTAACGGAGAAATATTATTAATTTATTAAATTTTTATTTTGCAAATGACATGAAAATGACGTATTAAATATTAACAGTAATACTATTAAAAAATTAAAAAAAATTTGAAAACAAAAAATTACTTTTCGTGAATAAAACTAACAATAAGATATATATTTTCATTAAAAGTTTATAACTTTTGCGAATTTAATAAACCATTTCCCTATTTCACAACTTTCTCTTTTTAAGTAAAAACTTCAAAAATTTTAGACTCTGTATTATTCTGAGTATCATTTATAAGTCAGTGAGATATATTTTTTAGAATAAAAAACTGAATTTTTTGTATATTTAAAATGAATACAGCTATATATACACTTATTATTGAAAAATAGGAAACTAATTTAAAATAAATCAAATTAAATCTATAGATTAGTAAGATTTCCTAATTTATATTCAATTTTTAGAAAGATTGAGATATTTTTCAATAAGTAGATAAAAAATAAATCAAAAAGTAAAATTAGTATTATAAGGTTCATATTTAATTTGTTTAAAAAATTTTGAAGAAATAAATTAATGGGAAAACTATATTCTAAGAGTTATATTTATTAAAAATTTGTATTATTTTAATAAAATTAATATTTATGAACTATATAAATAAATTAATATAATTTATAAACTGTATTAGGTCATAAATTGTTGAAGAGCTGGTGAGGCTTTCTGTTTTTTTGGGTGGAAGCTTATGAGTTTTTTAGCTTCAAGTTTCTGCATTCTAGAGGGAATCAACATCTCCCTAGAACTCCTTTACAAAGTTGAAATATATTTCTGCTTCTCCTGGATTTTCCATTCCTTTTATCTTTTGCGCCTGTTAGGAACAGCTCTCTTAGTAGGGTTTAAGCCACACCAAAAACCCTTGTTCTTTCCTCCCAAAAGAATAAAATCCCATTACTTTTCCAAGGTACAATCTTTCTTAATAAACTCACTCGTCATCTGTAATTGGCATAACTTATCGGTTTTTGCGTGGAATTATGAGAGAACTCGTGACTATTCAAGTTGGAGAATTCGCAAACTTTGTTGGCTCTCATTTCTGGAATTTTCAGGTTAATGATCATTTCAATCTGTAAAGTCCTTTGAATTTAACTTAACCTTTCCATATCATGCTTATTCAGTTCTTTTTAAAAGCTTGAGTTTATTAAAATGATAATCTTATGCTGCTGCAGTTAGGGGAATTTAGTGATATTAATGCATTTTTTGGAACTGGTTTATTAAATCTTAGTAAACAACGAAAAACAATTCAAAATCCTTGCAATTTTGTTTGTCCATTACAAATATTTCATGGGGTGATGGAAAGCTGAAGATTCCTCTACTACTCAATCAAAGAAATATAATTAATACATGATATTTTGATTGAATGAGAAATTGAGAAAAGAAATAGAATTACAGAAAGTGGGTAAGTTTGCTTCTCTCATTTAACACATGCCCCTTCTACTTTTGTGTTCGGTACCACCAACTCAATTATAATTTTATTGAGGGAACGTGTTATGTTCTTGAAGGATGAGTTGCTTGGGTTGGCTGATGATCCACAAAGCGATCCAATCTTCAAGAATCAGCATCTCAATATGGATGTGCTATACCGAACTGGCGAGACACTGAAGGTGAGAATTTTTTACCCTAATTTTTTCTTATTCAATCAGTTGTTCCCTAGATTACTGTTCTTATAGTTTTGTGTAAGTGAAAGCCTGTTGAATTTTGTTGAAAATGTTTGAATATATTTGTCACTGAGTGGAGTCACTATGCATAGTTTGACGTAAAGAACATACTTCCAATTCCTTTGAAGCTACTACCACCACCGAATTTGGCTTAATTGCTTTCAGTCAGCAACAATATTAGAACTATTCTGCTTCAGCACTTAAGTATAAAGAACCCTCTAATCACCATGACTGAACATGGGGGAGCCATCTCCAATTTGATAATAATGTTTTCAGCCCATATCTGTGCTTACTTTCCTTAGTTTGGATCCGATGAACTTAAAAGAATGACTGAAGAGCGACTTACTTCTGGCTCCTAGGAGAAATTTTTCATGTTATCATGGTGCTCTTGGGTTCTCTCCTAAATCTACTTGCTCCTTCCTGGAGCATTTCGAAGCCATTTACACAAAGAGTCAATTCGAACCATCTTCCCATCTAATTCTGGTTGTTTATTTATGCTCTCAAGGTAGTTAACTACTAATCTCTAACTTTAACTTTCTATTAATTTGTTGAATTGATGCTTAATGGCTAATGCATGCAGGGCACTCTTACATACACTCCTCGCTTGGTTTCAGTAGGACTCCAAGGTACTTGGCTTTAATGCAGTGCTAATAAATACTTTTTGCAGTTTCATCTGCTCTAGGCAATAACTTACATGTTCTCATCCTCTTGTTCCATTCACTTTAAGACTCATTTGTGACATTATAGATGGATTGGAGTGGGAATATTTTTCAGGATTTTAATTTATAAATATTTTATTAGGAAATTTGATTTATGTATTAATTCAGCACTTGAACCTTCTTTTGTATTTTACTTTTCTGTGTCTGGGGCTTAACTTTTTTTTTTTTTTTTCATTTAAGAACTGTCTAGGTTTGCTTCTATATTGGGGTGGTAGACTCATAGTCAAACTCAAGCATGTTTGGTTTTAATGGGGTGTTTGTATTTATCTCTTTATTTCACTTTTTGGTATTGTAAACAGAAATAATATTTCCTTTTCTGTTGATGGAACTTGGACCACTTTCACTTGTTCTTTATTGGTGCCCATGTTGTGGGGATGAACTCAATCAACAAACAGAACTTCTTTAGTCTATAACCATGTTTAATCGCGTGTTTTTTTTTTCCTTATATTAAACAGAGCTTATGTCATTGCAGGATCCCTTGGATCTATGGGTTCATGTGGCACATTGTATAATGAGGACTTATCAGCACCATCAGATGTTACATGGTGAGAATTGGTTATTCTAATGTTAATATGAGCTTCTCCAACCTCTGGTATAATATTTAGAGTAGCATGATGAGATCTATCTCAAAGCAATTGGTGAAGCAGAATTTGATAAGTTTTAGACATTAAAAGGGTGATATTAGTAACACTCCCTAAGGCTTATTCGTTAAGGATACGAAAATAATTCTAAATTCTACATTTGTAATTTCTGCATGTCTCTTATTTTGTTAAACTTGCATTGAATTGAATTCTTGTAAACTAATGTGCAGGTCTGGTACTATTTCCACTCATACATCTGAGCCTCAGAAGAAGAATTTGTTCTTGCAGAGTTTGGAAGATGAAGAACAGGGGAAAAATGGTAGCACTGAGAAGAGCAATTCTGGAAGAGAAATTCAGGATAAGGATATTGTTGAATGTTTAGATAATGGTGTCAAATGTTGGACAGATTACTCAAAAGTGCACTATCATCCTCAGAGTTTATACGAATTGAGTGGATTGTGGGTGGACAGTCAGGAGTTTGACAGTTATGGTATTGGAAGAGATGTTTTTTCTAAAGGTTCAAGGGGGGAAGAAATATGCGAGAGACTTCGTTTTTTTGTGGAAGAGTGCGATCATATTCAGGTAAATTTTAAATGTCTGGACTTGTGATGATTTTCAGGGTACTAACGGGCAATGTACGTCTTCGTATCGTTTTTGTTTGTTTCTAACTCTTTACTCCGGTGAAGTTAAAGATTAATGATTGCTTACTGTGTCTCGCCTGAATTTTAGGAAGTTGGTGCAACTTTATTTTCACATAGCATATGATTTATTTACTACAAGGTTGTGCTTATTCGACTGAAAAATAAATTATATTATAAAGCAAGAGCCTTTGAGCTCATTTGTCTTCCTCCCTATGAGTCAAACATTTCGCTACTCCCCCCATAAGCAAGGGCTAGCCCCTCAACCGAAAAAAGAATATTAGTTATATTCTTATGAAAAATAAACTATATTACACTTCCCTCTTTGCTCTGTGCCTGTGTCTTGATGAAGAAATGATTGAAGATTGTACAGGTAATATGGAAGATTTATGGAGAAACTTCAGTATTATATTTTTTAATTTAGTTTAGATAATTTTCTGATCTTCAAGAAGGAAGATACAGGAGTCTGCTTCTTGTGCTTGGGGGGAGGGCCTACGGTTTTGAAATGCTTACCTGGTGAGAGACTTAAAACTGCATTCTAATTTCCCCAGAGAATGCTGGGAACATAACATGCTTCTGAAGGACTAAACCAGCATCTTAACCGTCCATTTTTACTCATTACCAATAGCCTGGTTTGCTTTACAGTGGAAGTAAATATATTAGGGCTGAGAATATGCATCGTTTTCCATCAATTTTAAAATCTTGAGCAAGTTTTGGTATAATCCTGCTGGCAGCTCAGATAATGTGGAGAGGATTTGTTTGGTAGGTTTGAATCTCTTTGCATGATGATCCAGTAGAGAACATGTGTTTTAATTACAGAGTAACTATCTAAGGCTTGTCATCCAAGGGTTTCTGTTATTAATGTTTAGACTTCTTTAACTTCGAAAACTGTGTGGTAATTCATTATATTTGGACAGGGCTCCCCCTTAATGTATACCATTTCAAATGCTGAGAATCGAGATCCTCAATATTGAATATATTATCCTTTGTTATCTCTTTTAATTTTTTTTGCTGTGCTGATTTTAACAGGGTTTTCAATTCATTGTTGATGACTCAGGAGGATTTTCACCTGTAGCTGCAGATTTTCTGGAGAATATTGTAGATGACTACACAAGCACTCCAGTTTTGCTGTATTCCGTAAGGAGTCCTAGTTCTCATATGACTTTTAGGAGCCGGAAGCAGATGGTGCCTAGGGATCTTCATGATGCTGTTTCATTTACTAGACTATCATCATCTTGCAAATTAATTGTGCCCATTGGTCTACCTTTCTTGAGTAGAAGTAAGCAGTGTTGCCTTTTGGTATAATAATGGTTTTATGGCCTTCTTTGTTATCTGATGCCCTGTAATGTTTCACATATTCTCAAATTGAGTTAATAACCATCTCTAGATAGCAGAGTATATGATGTAAATCTATTACGAGTTTTGTGTTGTTGATGAAAGCTGCATTTTGTTAACAATGGTTCTTTGTTCTAAAACAGTTTGATTTTGACATGTTTATTTATGACAACTAGCTGGCTTGGTTTTATATTTGCAGTTCCTCATAAACCTATAACTTTAATATGGTCTTCTTCTTTTCTTATTTGTGTTAAAGATTCATATTGATTAATCTTTTATTTTTTTGTTCCTTTGGTTTGCAAGGTAAAGCATCATCATTCTTTTGCATCAAGGATGAGAAACCTTACTACTCGAGTGCAGTTTATGCTGCTGCTCTGCACTCAAATAGCATTCCTTTCCGAATGGAACCACTTGGACCTGCTGCCGATTTTGGTGATGTTTCAGGTGCTGTTGATGTAAATGGTGTCACACAACTGTTGGGAGAGCAAGCTAGGCAGAACAAAGTGACTATTCTGGACATTGCAATGCCGGCACCTGCTTTGACTGGTAACAAGATTTGACTGCAGTTATGTGAATGCATTTTAAATCCAAGCCATATCAGTTACAACTGTGAATTTAATGAATCACTTGGGATTCTGATATCCAGGGAAACAAGGAGCAAACTTCCTTCTTGGGAACTTGCATCCATTGACACCAGAAGTGGCTGAGGATGTGGAAGACTCACAGGCACTGGAATTGATGACCATTCATGGAGCCCTTGCATCAGGTAAAATTAATTTGTGTATCCTAGTTTTCCATATTCTTCTCTAGCATGTACTGATCAGCAGATAAATGCATTATACTGTGTTGGCAGACTTGGCTTCAGAATTTAGTAATATATTTTAAAAGAGAAAGCCCTCGGGCTTCTTCTCTTTGTCCGAAGTTGGGCTTCGTTATTAGAAAACTTTATTTAGTTGAATCACTAGACTCTTGGGGAACAATACTTGCCTACTGAGCTTTACAGAAAAAATCTTCAAAAGAATTAAAAGAGAAAAAGAGTAGTAGGCCAAAGATGAGAGCATGTGTTGCTATTATCTACAATTCTCTCCATGTATACCGGTTTGCCTTGTAGCTTTTTAGCAATTTGAGTGACAAAGATGGTATTTATTTTCTGCAGGCGGTGATCAAGCTTTAGTGTCTGAAGTAAGGAACGCAATTCATGCTTCATATGAATATGCAATAATAAGGCCAATGATTTGCCAATTATCTGTTGCTCGTTGTCCCCTTCCAATACCCTTGCCATTTCCTTCAATTTTTGGGAATCTTGTGGGGCAACATGGTGAACTGTTGGACAGCCCAATTGTAGGTTCTTGTCCAAGGAGCTCACTTGACGTCAATTCGATCCCCATTGCAGCTAGACTGCGTTCTAGTAGTGCTATCTTGCCATTTTTGCAGAATAGGTTAGGGAATCTTTGTCGATTTGGTATAGAAAGAGGAGCCCCTGGGGCTGAGTTGCTTAGGAGTTGGGGATTTGGAAACGACGATGTAGAGGACATGAGAGAGGCAGTGTCTAAAATGGTTGCAGCATTGGATCCTTACTCTCAAGTGTCCTCAGATTCAGATTAGGTAAGTGCAGATGCTAAGTTGTGCCTCTCTCTTCTCTTGCCCTTTACTGGAACTTGATCCCCATATTTGATCTGAGAACTTGCAGCAAGTTGTTGATTCCTAATGTTTGAATGGAATTATTAGTGTTGGTAGGATTATGGAAGTACGATGCAGGTGGACATTTAGGAACATGACTGAAAGATGACGAGTATGGCAGATGGGGCGGTGGAGAGACATTTGGTAAGCAGATGCCTCTTTTCTAGAAGATAATTTTCGATCTTGGTGTTTGTTGTACTCTCTATGTTTTTGTTTTGAATTCTTGTAAATGGAAAAAGTGAAGGTTTCCAAGTTTGAGATGAATTCCAAAGAAAGAGATTGCACCTCAGTTTGATGCCATATTATCCTGAAATACCTTCTTCCTCGTCGACTCCTGAATCTTAAGGGGGGGTATTCCATGACTAAATATTTAGTCAGTTCAAAAAGTGATTTTCTTTTTAATGCCAGTCTTAAGTTTTCAAGCCAGAAAGAATAAAAATACAGCATTGGTGATATGATGAATTTTTGTATTTTCGATGTGGTTGGAGTTTCAGAAACCAGTGCAAGGTATGTAGATTCTTAGAATGAGGTGAAAGATTTTATTATAAGAATATATAATTGGAATGTATATAAAATGATAGATAGTGGTTTATAATTGGACTATTTATTATTACAAATTAATTACACTAATTAATGACAAAAATTCTTCCTCTGTTATCAACTATTAATGCAAACGTCTTCCTCTTCAATGCTCCACGATAATATGATGGCCGTGATGGATATCCCTGTGGTGCCTTCTCATGGTGGTGGACAGCTGGTCATACTCGAACCGCAGCATCAACAACAACAACATCAATCCCACCTCCATAACATGATATATACATACACACTGGGGAGTTGATGAGCTAATAAACAAGTCCTGTATAACCTGCTATCTATCATCTTCGTAGTCAGAGATAAATGTACGCAGACTTGTTCAAGTAGACAATGAGACTTCGAGATTCAGAACAAAAAGCTAATACAAAAACCATCCAATGTTGGTGTTATAAAGCACCGCAACGAAAATGAGAAAGAGACGATGCTAACTCGTAAATTTGCTTCTAATGAAAGAATTTCCCCCGGCAAATACTGATTAGCATGCATGTGAACTGTGTTTAACGTTTTATTTGGTGGAAAATAAAATTATAAGAATATATATATATATATATATAATGTATATGTATATGTATATACACACACACGCATATAGATGATTGGAAAAATAGAAAAAGAAGTGTACTGGGAAAACGATGCAGATCCTGCACTAAAAAAAAAAAAAAAAGGTTTCTATTTTTTTGTCAACCAATACATTCTTCACCAAAACCCAAAAAACTAATATCAGATGTAAATCTCTCTAAAACCTACCCACATTAACTACTCTCAGTCTCTCGATGTATGCGCCAAATACTAGCTGCACAAAACAGAAGGAGAAACAAGAAACAGCATCAAAACATTTGGTCGGGATGACGATGTTGTTGTTGTTGATGCTGTGGCTCTCTTATCACCAGCTGGCCGCCCGTATGTGAATGCACCGGAGGGTTACCCATTATGGGCACAATATTATAATGGATCGAGCTGCCCATGCCAAGAGGTTGTTGCATGGGAAGGATAGCCTGTGGGGCGATGACAGTATCCAACAATCTCCTGGCGTTTAACAGTTCAGCCTCCACCAGCTGAAGCCTGTTCAGTAGCTTCGAGACGAGACCAGCACAGCCGCGGACAGGATCTCGGAGACGAGCCTCGGCCTCGTACACGATAGACTTTACAGCGGCTTCACGCTGTGATGCGTCCAGCCGGTTGAGAATTTTGGTTACCCTGCTCGTTCCAAAAACTTTATTGATACAATCGAACTTCTGACGCTCATCTGCTGGAAAATAAGGCGCAAGTACGCACTCCTCTTCGCATTTTCGTTTATGAAACCTGCAGGCAGCGCACGCCGACATTTTCTTCTCTTTCCAATCTAGACAAATTAAAAATCACAAGTAGTAATTTTATATATCGTTCCGATTGAAAATTCAGGGAAGCTTCCTTTGCAACCTAAAAGATTATTTCTCATAATTAAAAGCATCACATCATTGCAGTTAAGAGAAAAGACCTCCAAACATGCACATGTTCTCAGTTTAACTGTAGAACAAGAAATAGTGATCTGGTAACTAATGGGAGTAAATTACGAGAAATGTAAACACATAAAAACGCCCGCAAGCGTCTTCAACAACAACTTCTCTTAGCCAACCCTATGCTCGATTCTCATCTTGAAATGCAAGAAACTCTTTAATTTTGTTTCAAAAGATAAAAGAAACCAAATCTTTATATGATATCCCCATTACCTTGGATTTTGTTTCAGAAAGAAACAATTGATCGGGATCACTCTCTCGGTTTCTTGAAAGTCAATGAAAGAACACCTGCAAGACTCAGTTTAAGAGACGGCAATCACGGTCGCTCTCTCTCGGTTTCTTGAAAGTCAATAAAAGAACACCTGCAAGACTCAGTTTAAGAGACGAGACGGCAACTCTTTCCGCAATGACTGAACCGACAGCTTGAAGACGATAAAGCGAACAGAAAGAATGGAAGAAAAAAAAAAAAAAAAAAAAGCCGCACCTCAGAGAGATTTGCGAGAGAGATGAGTTGAAAAAGGAGCGAAGGAGGCATTTCCATGGTGACAACGTCTGTTTTATAGGTGGTTTAGCACGTGCCGTCGGATCAAATGTTTTCCAACACGCGATCAATCTTCTCTACTAAAAATCTACCTCCTCATACCGAAGTTTCCAGTTCCATGCATATTATATTAGATTTATCACGTCAACGTCCTCTTCTCCGCTATTTAGCCTCTCGAATGATCAATCATATATTATACATTATAATATACAATGTGACTAATAGTTCTGAAAGTGAAGATGGGATACTTGATGATCACCCAAACTGCCATTTGCATGCAAATCACCCATATTTTTTGTCTCTTTTATATATACATTTACATATATATATATATATTATTAATGTTTTCGGTTAATATATATATATATATATATATATATTTTTTGTGGGTCTTGATTTCTCCTGGGGGCAGGTGTATGGATTTGACATGGAATGCCCCAAAAGAAACTTTGCAATTTAATAACTACATACATACTGATGAATATTCTGATTCAATCTGTCTCCTGTTTTTATATTGCTGATATTTTTTATTATTAAAATAATAGTTTAATTTTTACTTAAATTAACATTTGTCTCAATTTTTAGTTAAATTAATCATTTTATTTAATTAATATTAATTTAAAATATCACGTGTTAAACTTATTAAGATATAAAAATTTTATATTTATCTAAATGTGAGTTGAATATTACATTAAATATTACTTGATATTTAAAAAATATAAAATTAAATAAATAATTATTATTATTTAACAAAAAAAAAAAACTCATCAACCCGTTAATAAATTCTGTTCTCCTTCACAAACATGCCAAAAACCAGGATATCATTCTCCTCTCTCTATTTAGTTTTGCTGCCCCTTTATTTGGACGGTAGTATTTCGTGATAAATTAATTTATAGTATGATGTTTGAATGATGAAATTCTATTTGTTTTCTAATATCACTGTAGCGTACATTGATTGTACACTACAAAATTCAGAGACGAGGTTTTTATTGCAGGGTCTTTGGCAGGAAGAATGCAAAGCTACGGAGGAGAGAGATTTGATGGGGATGATGAATTTTGTGAGTAAAAGAAGAAAAATCCAAAAACATGAGCTAACGTAATCGTTCAAGGAGGGTGCAAAATTTGGAAAAGTACGAAAAGAAAAAGCGACGAGCATGACGGAGAGACCAAATTTATGCTCTTGAAGGATGAGTTCCTTGGGTTGGCTGATGATCCAAAAACCCATCCAGTCTTCAAGAAATCACCATCTCAAAATGGATGTGCTATACCCAACTGGTGAGACGCAAACGGTGAGAATTTTTTACCCTAATTTTCTCTTATTCAATCAATTGTGACAGTGTAGATGGATTGGGATGGGAATGTATTTCAGGATTTTAATTTATGAGTAATTTATTAGGAAATTTGATTTCTGTATTAAGTCAGCACTTGAACCTTCTTTGGTCCTTTACTTTTCTGTGTCTGGGGCTTGACTTTTTTTTTTTCTTAAGGAACTTTCTGGGTTGACTTCTATACTGGAGTTATAGACTTCAAATAGTCAAACTCAAGCATGTTTGATGTTGATGGGGTGTTTGCATTTCTCTTTATTTCACTTTTCCGTATTGTGGTTGTGGAAACAGAAATAATGTTTCCTTCTCTGTTGATGGAACTTGGACAAATTTCACTTGTTTTTATTGTTGCTGTTGAAATGTAATTCAAAGCTTATATGAGTCTTTTTCTTATCTGTTAGTTTCCTAGATTTAAGTAAGTTTATTTTACAGTTGGAAATAAGTAGCAGAGTAGTGGGATTAGTTGTGGGATTTGATGACGGCTTTTTTTATCTCTGTTTGTTTTATGTAAGCCTATATATAGAGGCTCTTTTTGCTTGTTTTACACAAACTGGAATTAGAAGAAAAGGTTTACAGGTTCTGCTACGTTTGCTTTTCCTGCTCTGGTTTTTTTTTGCTTTTATCTTTTTCCATCAAATCTGGTATTAGAGACAGGCTCTGGTCCTTTGGGCAATTGAATAAAAGGTTTTGGGGAGTGTAGGGAAACACGAGAGAAAGTGCAGAGAATGGCAGCAAACGTTTTTTCATCATCCTCACAGCTGCTCATACCGATTTTCATAGGTGAAAAGTATGAGTTTTGGAGTATTAAGATGAAGACTCTTTTCAAGTCTCAGGATCTTTGGGATTTGGTCGAATATGATTTCGTAGATTTAGAAGACCCAGATGAAGAGGCAGAAGAAAGATTGAAAGAAACCAAAAAGAAGGATGCCAAAGCTTTATTCCTAATTTAACAAGCTGTCCATGAAACAATTTTCTCAAGAATTGCAACAGCAGCAACATCTTTGGAGGCCTGGCAAATTTTGAAGGAGTTCCAAGGCTCCTCGAAGGTAATCACGGTAAAGTTGCAAACATACTGTCGTGAATTTGAAACTCTGTCTATGAAAAATGATGAATCTGTTTAAGTTTGTCTTCTCTGATTAATCAAATGAAGTCGTATGGTGAAGTGATTTCTGAAGAAATGATTGTTGCAAAAGTATTAAGGAGTCTTACTCCTAAATTTGAACATATTGTTGCTGCTATTGAGGAAACCCATGATTTATCAAATTATTCATTTGATGAGCTAATGAGTTCCTTACAAGCTCATGAAGACAGATTGCTCAGGTCATATGAAAAGAATGAAGAAAAAGCCTTTCAGGTGAAAGGGGAGATGCATGAAAATGCTGCTGGATGTGGCAGTGGTAGTGACAGATGTGGCTTTCATAAGAGAGGCCGAGGAAAAGGTGCAGGCAGAAGCGCATCTAATGAAGAGAGGCAAAGGAAGATCTTTAAATATTACTAGTGCAACAAACCAGGTCATAGAGAGGCTTATTGTTGGAAAAAACAAAAAGATGAGAACAACCGAACAAGTTTTGCAGAGGAACCTGATGAAGAAAGTAAGTTATTCCTGCCGCTTTTTTGTGAAAGAGAGTAGTTTAACAACGTTTGGTTTTTGGACAGTGGTTGTTCTAACCATATGTGTGGAATAAAATCATTATTTAAGGAACTTGATGAGTCCGATAAAACAGATGTGACGCTAGGAGACAGCAAGAAGATTCGAGTTGAAGGCAAAGGTACCATAAGCATTAAAACTAGTTAAGGGAATGCTAAGATTTTACAAGATGTGATGCTTGTTCCTGATTTATCTTATAATCTGTTTAGCATTGGGCAATTAATGATTAGTGGATACTCAATTCTATTTGATGATGATTGTTGCACTATTAGAGATAAGAAATCTGGGCAAATCACTGCTAAAGTTCCGATGGCTAAAAATAAAATGTTTCCATTAGAAGTTTCAATGATTGAGAATTGTGCTATGGTTGCTAGTGGTGATAGTGAGACTCGATTGTGGCATTTACGTTATGAGCATTTAAATATTAATGGGTTAAAATTATTGAGTCAAAAGGAAATGGTTTTTGGTTTGCCAAAACTTGAGAATTTTGGTTTTTGTGAAGGTTGTGTCTATGGAAAACAGAGCAAAAAGTCTTTTCCTGTAGGAAAGGCCTGGAGAGCCTCTAATTGCCTTGAGTTAGTGAATGCAGACTTGTGTGGGCCTATGAATACAAAATCTCTTGGTGATAGTCTATATTTTCTGCTGTTTACAGATGATTATAGCCGTATGAGTTGGGTTTATTTTTTAGAAAGTAGGTCTGAAGCTTTTGACATATTTAAGAAGTTTAAAGTACTTGTAGAAAGAAACAAAGGTCTTTTAATAAAGATATTGCGAACAGATAGAGGAGGTGAATTTGTTTCAACTGATTTTAATACTTATTGTGAGGAAAATAGAATTCGCAGAAAGTTTGCAGTGCCATATACACCACAACAAAACGGTATAGCTGAAAGAAAGAACAGAACAGTAGTGGAGATGGCTAGAAGTATGATGCAAGCAAAAGGTCTTCCTATTTATTTTTTAGCAGAAACTGTTGCAACAGCAGTGTATATTCTCAAGTTGTCTCCTACAAAAGCTGTTCGTAATCAAACACCTGTTGAGGCTTGGACAGGTAGAAAACCAACGATAAGCCACTTAAAAGTTTTTGGTTGTATAGCTTATGCTTTGGTTAAAACCCATTCTAGAAAATTTGATGAAAAATCTGAAAAATATATTTTTGTTGGTTACTGCTCACAATCCAAAGCATTTAAGCTCTATAACCCCACTAGTGGCAAGATCACCATTAGCAGAGATGTAGTTTTTAATGAAGATGCAAAATGGATTTGGAATGAAGAAAACAAAGAGCAGCACGTTGAAGTGTTAGAAGATAATGTTGCATCATCGCTGAATTCAACACCAACAATTGCCAGCTCCAGCACTCCTGTAAGTACCAATTCATTTGTTCCTACAAGCAATGAATCGTCATCTTCAAGTTCATCAAGTGAAACTCCTCCAAAGAAATATAGATCCTTGTAAGAAATTTATAATTCTTGTATTTTTGCTCTGCTTATCTCAAATCCTATTCACTTTGAAGAAGCTGCAAAAAACAAGGAATGGTATAAAGCTATGGAAAATGAGTTGTCAGCTATTAAGAAAAATCAAACCTGGGATTTGTTTGACTTACCGAAAGGAAAGAATGCTATTGGACTCAAATGGGTGTTTAGAACCAAGTATCATGCAGATGGGAGCATCCAAAAACACAAGGCGAGGTTGGTTGTAAAAGGCTATTCTCAACAACAAGGTCTCGACTTTTATGAAACTTTCTCTCCTGTTGCATGTTTTGAAACGGTGAGAATTTTTCTAGCCTTAGCTGCTCAATTAAATTGGCCAGTATACCAATTTGGTGTTAAATCTGCTTTTTTAAATGGTGACTTGGAAGAATAAATATACGTCTCACAACCTGAAGATTTTGTAGCAAATGGCAATGAAGATAAAGTTTACAAGTTAAAAAAGATGCTTTATGGCTTAAAGCAAGCATCACGGGCATGGTATTTCAAAATTAATTCTTATTTTCAGGAGAATGGATTTGAAAGAAGTGAAAATGAGCCTACGCTTTATTTGAATAAAAATGGTAAAGATGAATTTCTGGTAGTATGTCTCTATGTTGATGATATGATTTATATGGGTTCTAGTGAGTTTATAATTGCTGAGTTTAAGGCCTGCATGATGAAAAAATTTGAAATGGCAGACTTAGGTTTGTTACATTATTTTCGTGGAGTTCAAAGAAGCAGGAGGTGGTAGCATTATCATCATCAGAGGCTGAATATATTGCAGCAACAGCATCAGCCAGTCAAACAGTTTTGCTAAGGATACTTCTTGCTGATTTTGATCAGAAGCATGTTGGAGCAACAGAGATTTTTTGTGATAGCATGTCAGCTATTGCAATGACTGAGAATCAAGCTTACCACAGCAGAATAAAACACATTGACGTTCGTTATCACTTTATTCGGAGGCTTGTTACAAGTGAAGAAATCATGTTAAAATCTTGTAATACAAAGGAACAAGTTGCTGATATACTGACAAAGGCGCTTCCATTGGAAAAGCATGAGAATTTCATAAAAATTATGGGAGTTAGTAACTTTGAATCAAGGAAGAGTGTTGAGATATAATTTAAAGTTTGAATGAGTCTTTTTCTTATTTGTTAGTTTTCTAGATTTAAACAAGTTTCTTTTACAGTTGCAAATAGGTAGCAGAGTGGTGGGATTAGTTGTGGGATTTGGTGACCGTTTTTTAACTCTGTTTGTTTTATGTAAGCCTATATATAGAGGCTCTTTTTGCTTGTTTTTACATAGATTGGAATCAGAAAGAAAAGGTTTACAGGTTCTGCTACGTTTGCTTTTCCTGCTCTGGTTTTTTTTTTGCTTTTATCTTTTTCCATCAGCGACCAAAGTCTCGAGCACAAATGGTGGAACCAGAGAGAAATGTTTTGGCTGCAAGAACAGAGTTTACCCAACTGAAAAGGTAAGAATCAAGAGCATAAGATTCTATGAATTAAGATCATAAGATTCTACAATTTATCTAACATACTAAACTAAGCTCTAGAGAATTGTCATAGCAACTATAGCCCATATGTTGTCTTCTGTATTATAAATATGACAGTGAATGGAACCCCTTACCATAAGAGCTGCTTTAAATGTACCCATGTGTGATTAACCCATCAAACTATATTGCACATTAAGGCAGACTCTATTGCAAACACCACCATACCAAACTCATCAAGGAAAAAAGTAACTTGAGCCAACTTAAGGGTGATGAAGAGAGGGATTTTATGAACGAGGGTGTTGGTGCAAGGGAAGTACCTCCCAAGTCATGATCATCTGCGTCCCTGTCCTCCTGGAACTTATGCTGATTCCAATCTCCCTGCAGTCCAAATGACAAAATATGATGTATTTCTAATTCAAGTGTGTGGCTTCTTGCTTATTATAATTCAATTTTTCTCCTGCAATTTGGATGTTTAATTGATATTCTATCACTTGTTTGGTTCTCTGTTATATGGTGAGATGTACTTGAGGAAGCTTTTCAATTCTTATTACTTAACACTCTTGGACCTCTAATTCAACTCAGTTTTTCATTTATGCTCCGTTAGAATTCTTTAACATACATCTCCATGTCTTCTTCATTAAGAACAATAGATTTATTCAAACTCTCCCCAAAAATCTCGGCTCCTCTAGAGCTCCACGAACAATGTAAAACCCAGCTGATTTACCAGCTGTGTACAAAAGAAAAGAAAAAAATAATAATAAAACATATATATAACTAATTATAAATGAAAAAAAAAGAAAATAAAAGAAAAAAAAGGCCCAGAGGCGTGTACACCTCTGGGAGCATAAGGAAACCAGGTGTCAAATATATATGCATATATATATATATATATGTGAGTATATATATAATTAAAAATAAAAGAAAAAAAATGAAAAAAAGAAAGAGAGGAAAGAGTGAGGAGAGACGCGACTGTGAGAGGAGAGAGAGGTTCGAGCGGTGTCGACGACAGACTGTGAGAGAAGGATCATGCGGTGTTGTACAACGCCGTAATCAAAAGAGAAAGAAAGAGGAGAAGGATCGGGTGGGTTGTGCGACACGGTGACACGTGACTGGAAGTAGAAGGAGAAGAAGAGAGAGAAGAGTCATGGTCAGATAGAGAGAGAAAAAGAGAGAAGAAAAAAAAAGAAAGAAAAAATGGAAGTGTGGCGACCTGCGCGCTGATTTCATCATCAGCGCGTGACATTTTCGGTGACAAGCGTGTGATAGAGCATGGTGATGCTAGCGAGTGTAATTGCATGTCCAAAGGTAAAATATATCCATCCTTTTGCATGTATAGTTTCTAAAATTATTCTTAAATTAATGTGTATATTTTGCATTATAAACAAAGAAAATTATTCAAACGATATCCGAATTTCTAAGAGAATTATAGACCAAGTCAGAAAGGATTCCTAAAACTTTTATGATCATACTGTAGATAAGAAATGTGTGTATTATGTACGGGAGACATAACTTATATATTTTATGTAAATATGTATATATATAATGCATTATATGTGAATGTTTAAATGTATATATAATGAAATATAAATATAATTAATATA